GCATCTCGGTTATTCCAGGCCTTGTGACATTTTGACAATTATCCTTTATCAATTTCTCTTACGGTGAGCCCTCTCGTTTGTTTATCAGATACACGACATGCATTATCAGCCACAGCTGAAGCAATAAAAAAGCGACACACATTTTTGACGATCGTCAAAATGCAGTCTTATCACCGCATGTCACTCCGCTGTGACATGTGTTCGCGAAAGACGTGTGCAAAAGTGCGCGGGCAGAAAGTGCTGCGGAAAAGGTGCGTCGGAAATTGTCGAACTCGCGACTCTCGCGATCAAAATCACCGGAACCACAGCTGTCGGCTGGGACATGTCTTCGAAGTACTTCGTTCTCGCGCGACGGACTTTAATCGATTTACTGGATCGAATTGTAACCGCTGATCGAAACTGGCTGGTGCAATTATGTTCCCGATGGAAGACCTCGTGAAGCTAATTTGCCACATTAATTCCTTATTCTTTTTTTATTCTATTCTTAACTTATTTCTTCACTAGCCTGCCCTGGTAAGAGACAGAAAAGGGAAAAGACATCGAGCAATTATTCTAGTCTAGTGGAATTTGTCGTAACGGTCGTACGATAAGAAATTGTCTTGGCTCGTATCGCGCTAATTGGAAATTATTCTCGCATCGAACAATATGCGTGTACTGCGCGTATAACTGAATAAGTATCGGCGGAATGCTACGGTGCGGCTATATGCAGCATGAAACACGATTACGAACGAGCGTTCTTGAATCGTGGTTGTTATCTACTGAAATTAGTCTCGTAGAGCTAGGTCTACGATAAAAGTTGGAAACAATGCGATTTGTTTAAATGAGGTTTGGAAACATGAGTGTGAATACGGGTAGGAGTGTAAGCGGGGGAGTGTGAAGTGAAGCGTGAACGTGCATCGCCGCTGGTAAGGCTGGATATGAAGGGAAACGGCTGTATTTAATAAACATTCTAATAGTTTAAAAGATAATAATAGGGGTATGCAAAAGTTTCCATCGTTCACGTATAAATGGCATTGTGAATTATTTGCATGAAAATTGCGACGCATTTTTGCGCATAGATTATGTCAGTATGGGTCAACCTGCGTAGAAACGCGATAATAACAATAAGTCATATCCATTGACATTTTTAATTCGTATGAAGACGAAAGTCCATATTCGTCGTTACTTTTTTCATTTAATCAGCGCAAAACAGCTGCCGAGTCGACCAGAATCATTTAGAAAACTTATGGTGGGGGGAACAATAGCTGAAAGTTCATGTCGTGAGTAATTTCGGCGCTTTAAAAATGGCGATTTTGACTTGAAAGACCAGGCGCGTGCCGGGCAACTGCAAGAAATGAGTTCGGATGACTTGAAAGCGTTATTGAAAGAAGATTCGACTCAATTGAGTGTAGAATTTGCGGTTACATGTTAATCAGAGCACTGTAATTCGGCACTTGCATAATATGGGGAAAATTCTGAAGGTAGGAAAATGGATTATCCATAAATTATCCAAGAACGCTATTGCAACTGAGTCACCATTTGCCTTTCGCTGCTCGACAGATACAAACACAAGTTTCTTCTAATATCGAATTGTGACCAGAGACAAGAAATGGATTTATTATGACAATCCCAGTCGCAAAAGATCACGGGTAGACCCTGGAGAACTCTCTATGTCACAGCCAAAACGAAATATCCACGATCATAAAGTCTTCTTCTGGTATCTGGTATCTGGACATGCAAGGAGCCCTGTATTATGAGCTGTTATAAAACCATCTCAGATTATCAACTCTATACTATACTGGAAGGTTTACTCAAATGAGAGAAAACGGGACAAGAGAAATGCAAAAATGTATATCCATTCTGTCCTTTTCTCATCTAGCCGAAAATATTGGTCGCGTTAAGTACGTGAGATGTTAAGACGTGGCTCTTAAAATACTGGTCTCTTTTCTTTCCGTGCAGCGAGGGGAGAGGAGGCGTTAAATATTGCGATGAGCTTTCTAATATGGTATAAAATTTATTGTTTGTGGAAGAAATACGCACGTTACGCGACATATATGAAGCAATTTCGAAGCAATTAAGGTGTCGCTTTAGTAAGGCCGACTTTTGATTTTGACGCTCGTGATTTAGCTGGACAACAAATTGTTACGTAATGCGTGTGACGCGTAACATTGCGATACACGCTACGATCGCGTAATAACCCGTTATCATCGCGCATTCTCGGAAAATTTACACGTCGTGATTACCTTTTTGCAGAATGCGACTTGTCGATGGAAATAAATATCGGTCATGCACGTAGCGAGTAAATAACGCATCTCCGCGTATCAATTTATCAACTTATCGACGTAGGTACTCGACTGCTACTGTTCTCATAGCTATGTAAATACGACACAATTAAAATTATCGATTTCCTTTAATCTTCCAAACGGAGAATAAAAGATATGACATATTTGTATATTAACAAACGATGTAGAAGCAACAACGAATGTGTGGCGGGCCCTCGTTCTTGGCGATCGAAACGATGCACATTTGGTGGACGTAAAAAAGAACATCAAATGGGACAAAAGAATACATTTATTAAATATACAAGGTGTCCCATAATTTGGGTCTATTGTTTACACCGCGTCGTATAAACCACAAAAACTTTTGCTAATTTTTCCTCGGCGAAAATATCAAGAGTTATTATTTGTAGCGATACTATTCAATTTTCGACGTAATATGTCATTGAAGCCTCGGATTAAAATCCTGTTAAAATAAAGTTCGTCTGAAATTGAAATCGAGAAAATAATAATTTTTTAATCTGTTTGATCGCCCGAAACATAAGTTGTGAAAAGTAGTGCTTTCTTGATCGCTCATTATATATTAATATAATTATTAATGCCTAAGTATTTTTGCTAAAATGGCAAATTTTTAAAATATATAATGCTATGGGCAAATACAGGGTGCGAATCATAATACATTCGACACATCAAGTTTATGATATCCCGTTGAGAAAATTACATAGCCTTTTCGAGGTGTTTTTCATCTATTATTTCTAAACTTTCAACAATTTGCGCAATACTCTCAAGCCTAAAAAAATATATATACGCATATAATAGAGAGAGGGGGAGGGCAGGAGAGGCAGGAGGGGCAGGAGGGCAGGAGAAGGAGGGAGGGAAGGGAGGAAGGAAGGGAGGGAGGGAGGGAGGGGGGAGAAAGAGATTTACAATGGAAAAATTTTCGCGTGCCACGCGACTTTGCGTTCAAATTGCGAAATTTATTCTAGCGGTCGTCTGTGACGTGACTGATCGTCACGATTAAGCGCAAGACGATGTCAGCTAATATTTGCCGAAGACACGGTTGGCTGGCGAGCAAATGAGAGAACGAGCGAATGCATTAAACTGTAACATCTGAGAACACGCTTTATATTTCGGCGACGATGATTGCCAGTTGCGCCGCGCGCGTTGTTATTATCATGTGCAGCCCGTGAAACCTCGTTTGCTGCCGCCTGATAACAAAGCGCAGCTCGCGCTTTGCGCTTATCGTGACGGAATTAACCAGACTTATAATCTGTTCCTCGCCGATAATTTTGCGCCGATATTGCGCACACCTGCATGCGAGAAACCTGTAAATTATGCGCTCGGGACAGAAAGATTGAACCGTGCGATCCCACCGCGATCGTACTAATTCGGTTAGATTCAAGATTATTATTTTTACGGAGTTTCGAGCAAGAAGACGTGTGAAGATATAACGAAAATGCCTGATAAATCGACGTCGATTTATTCACAGACTTAAAAACAAAATGCAGGCGTATGGGGGGGAGGGAGATATTTTTGTACTTACAGCGGGATGATTAAACCTAATTGTAAAATAAAATAAAAAACGAAGAGAGAGGAAGAACTTATAAATACTAACTATTCTAGGAGAAGCCCTTTAAGCTCATATCTCCATTTATTTACAATTCGTGATAAAAAATTATATACAGAATACTTTTAAGTACAATATTTTGGGAGTTAATTTTTGAGGTCATTTTATGAAGAAAAGTTCATGTCAATATTTGACCTTAAAGAGCTTATTTTATGTATACGTGAGTGTGTGTGTGTGTGTAGAGAGAGAGAGAGAGAGAGAGAGAGAGAGAGAGAGAGAGAGAAATAGAGATGTATTAAAACTTCTAAATTATTTTCAAAATTCTTCTAAAATCATTTTCTTTCTTAATTCTCCTACCGGAAGAAAAACTTTTGTTTCAAATTCGAAGCAGTAAATAGACAAAATATATTATTTTTATATTTACTTTTGATAATTATTGTGTTGTAAAAAATCAGTGGGAGAAATTGGAACGGGAATTAAAACGTAAATATTTCCTATTACTAATTTTATTAAAACCTACTATATCTGTTTTTTTGAAGGTAATGAACAAAATAATGAAAATCTTAAACAAAGTTTAATTCCTTCGATTTTCGAGTTTTCGAATTTTCGACAAGTTCAGGCTAGTATTAGCCAAATCTTCTTTCTACACTAGTAATTTTTTCCAAAACTATCTATAGGTAAAAGCTAAATGCAATACCTTGTGTATTCATTGGCATGAATTGGAAAAACACATTTCTTTTTATTTAAGATCACAAAAATGCACAAAAAATTATCACAAAAAAGCAATTTTATAGAATTTTTGGAAACTTGTATCTCTGAAACGAAACCTTTGAGACCACATGTAAATATAAACCTTCCTTCGTAACAGATTAAAAATTAATTCCAAAATAGACATTAGACAGTACTTAAGAAATATTCTATATAATATGTTAAAAGAAGTAGTTAGTTGTTCATGGTAATTGGAGGAAGGAGTGATACACATAGAAAAGAAAAATAGTACTCGTTTAGTGTAGTAATGGAAAATTTTACAAGTTAGTTTTAAATTTTGGAGAATTTCGCTTTGTTTTCTCAGGGAAAAGAGAAAGAGAAAAAGAGAGAGAGAGAGAGAGAGAGAGAGAGAGAGAGAGAGAGAGAGAGAGAGAGAGAGAGAGAGAGTGAGGAGGGGGCAAGAAAAGGGAAATTTCTTTTATGGCATAAAAACTTGTCATATAAGGTTCGCAATAACGATTATTTTTGGCTCGTTAATGGAGCAGACACCGATGCGAAGTTTTCTTTCGGCGTGATAAGCAACGCCTTCCATTAAAGTAGCGATTCTTGTTTCGATAATTGATCGTTCGATTGGAGCAGAAAGATAAATTAGTGGCACAATGATGTAGACAATAGTGAGTAACGAATGTTGTGTGCGACAAACGTGCTTGACAAATAAAAAATTTTCTTCTCTGTGTTCTTACGAGTGCGATAGTTTTGACTTAATTTTTACAGTGTTTCCCTTTTACGCGGCATTCAGGACGACCGAATATATTTTCTCAACAGATACTGAGACGACGCAGAATCTCCTTGGCGAAATTGTTTTGCGTTTCGCACAGGAACGCTTGTCATCTCTTGGGAAGGACAAAAAAGAGAGAAAAGAAATTACGCTTTCGCACAACTCCGTGTGATATCGCCGAGTGTATCGACTAAAAATACAACTGTGGAGAACATTAAAAAACAGTGGCAGATATAATATCGTAAATCGGATCAGCGGCTTAGAAGCGGTTAAGAAAGCTTTCAACTTCTGACAGTGTGCGCCGATCAGTTTTATCTTGACTTCCAGGTTTTCTTATGTACATAAAAAGCAAAAAAGCGCAAACGATCGCGCGATATTGTCAATACACACATACACACATACATATATATATATATATATCCGACATGCTTAGCCGTATTAGCTATGACGATAATACGGTATTATCGGAATGATACTGTTTATGGCACAGTTTATATGAGCGCAAACTGTCAACTTGCATCCGATTGCGAGAAGGAAAAAGAAAAAGAAGTGGAATCGGAAATAATCAGAAAATAACGAGATACTCGAACACATTGAATAAAATTGAACTTGTCGTCATTCGCGTCTTTAATGTCTCCGAGTGTCGACGTTATTTTATCGCGACCTTGAACTGGAACTCGTCCTGGAAAGATGACATTGAAGAAAGAGGGAAGGAGATCTTCGAAAAAGATGGCTAAGCCGAGCCAGAAAGCGTCCAACTGCAACGACGAGAATGCGAACGCGTCGCAACAGGAAAGTTCCGTGAAGGAATGCAAACCAGAGAAACCGGAAGCAGGTGCGCATAGCGCTAGATATATTAACGCGAATCGCTCTTCGTGAAATTCTTGATACGTGAGAAGCGTGAGGAAGGTCGTTGAATAATATTTGTCCCTGTCGCGACGTGTCGAAATTGTTAGAGAAGTGATCGCTCGTGTTGACGATAAGCGCGCGCCTAAATTTCAGTCTGAGACGACGTCATTAAAGAGTTGTCACAAGTTGCTTCAGTATAACATTTTATAACGTTAGAGATTAGTGATATAGTAATAGTCTGGAATATCCCCAATTCTTCCGCACGCGAAAAAACCGTGTCTGTGTGCGACAATGAAGTAACGATAATAAGGTGATTGTCCTAATTAATGACCAAGTAAACTTGTCGTAAAAATTAATTAATAAATCAATAACATACATTTTAAAGTTTTAAATAAGAAGCTGATTTTGTTAGGAAATTTAAATATTTGGACTTCTAATTATATATTATGTACAAGGTAGACCATTTTATCCAATACACGCGAATATTTCGAAAAGAAGTTTTTCGAAAAAAATGTTTCAGACAAAAGTTTTAGGGGGAAAGATGATGATATCATTAATTTAATTATAGATGGCGTCACTTTAGAAATTTTATCATGGCGGCTATTTTTTTAAATGGGAATAAATTTTTTTCTCAAAATGAAAGTTGTACAATAAGATGAGTGCAACAATTTTTTGTGTTTTGAAATTGGATCAAATGATACAATTAAATTGATTAAATTGATACGGGAAATTGATAATATTATCTTTCCTTCTCGAAGCCATAAAACTTTAGTCCGAAACATTATTTTAAAAAACATTTCCTTTCCAAGAAACTTGCTTGTATTGAAAATAAATATTCTACACTGTACATTTTTCTAATTTACGGAAAGATTTAGTTCATTTATATTTTTTTCAGCAATTATATTAAATTATCATTTAGTGATAGGGCAACTTTTTATTTTTGTCTTTTCATTGACAGTTTCGAAGAAGTTAAAGAATAACTGCATAAATCTAAGAGATATTTGATATTAACTATTAAGTTCTAAAACGTCAACGAGTAATTATTCGAATTGTCGTTGTCAACAATATTCTTGTAATTATGATGTCCTAGTATTTACTATAGCTTTTAATTTTATTCGAAACTCGCTATAATATATAAAATATATTAAATAATATATAAAATATATAAATAATATATAAAATAATATATAAATTATATAAATAACATAAATATTATATAAAATATAAAGTAATATATAAAATATAGAATAAAAGCATATGTTTAGAATAATATATCGGCTGATTATTTATTTTTAGAAATGGGCGATTATCACAAATTGAAACAGTGTCATTAATTAGGACAGACATTTTAATTATCGCTGTTAATTTCCTTTTTGATTAATTTCTTCTTTAATCGTGCCGTAAAATAATATTGGAGAGTATTAATTTTGATTCAACGAATTCAATTTTGTCTTTAATCGGATATAGAAGTTAAAGAAATTTCAAAATATTTTGGAACAAGGAAACAGTCGAAATCTTCGTTCAATGAATGTTAGTGAACTTGAAGTATATTTAAAATATAGTACAAAATGATTCTGAGTGTGATAATTATGCGGAATGAAATACATATATTATTCCGATCGTTTATTTCAAGTTGTTAAGTTGATTTCATTAAAATTTCATTAAAGTTTTATCCAAACTTGATTGCTTTTAGATTTTTAATTAAACATTATAATTAGAGCAAACGATAAATTAGTTTGGAAAATGCAAAGTAATGAAAGTAATGCACATTAATCATGAAGAATTTTATGTTCACCTTTTTCATTATCAAAATATTTAAATTATTTTAGCAAAAAATACAGAGATTTTACTTTCAAAATAGATTTATAATATTCGATGATTAAACATAACGACGAATTCAACGTATTTCAAAAATTTTTATAAAATAATATATTACAAGAAATATGTGAATATTACCAATATATCGTGTACATTTATAGTATGTCCGCTATGTAAAGTGTATTTGAATGCCACCGAAATACACACACAAACTCACTCAGAGTAGATACTACATAAAAAAAAGAAAAAAACAAATATGCGTCCTCAAATGCTTAATTTAACAGTTGTTGCAATTTCAGTTTCAGAAGAAATATATTTCTTTCATTAAATCGTGTTTTACGAATAAGTAATCAAACACATATATTATTATAAAAATGTTTTACAAGTAACTGAACAAGTATATTGTTATAAAAATTATTCAAAATTTCTGTTACATTTGCAAGCTCAAAAGCACACACAAGCGTAGGCATTCGTTATGTCAAGGAGAAATAATACATTTATTTAGTTTCAAACAGTAACAATATATCAACGTCACAATAAACGATTCTTTATCAACGAGTCAATATTCAGAAATTATCCAAATTTATAGGTATTATCTTTAAAGTCAGCTAAAAATGTGTTATATGAGCATTCTTAACTTGCTTATCGCGATACATTTTCTCTCATTGTTGTCTCTCATTGTTGTCATTTTCTAAAGGCTATATATTAAAAACGAAACTTTTGTGAGCATATGTTTACTCGAACTTTCTTATTTACTTTTTAACATAGAAACTGTCCCACGAGTCCTGTCGATAAAGTAAAAGATGCATCTCATACATGCCCAATATGTTCGAAAGATACCATGTGCTGCCTAGGGTCTTATTCAAAATATCTGAATTTGACAATATTTTTGACAATGGCAGCGCATAATGCTGGACAATAACAACATTTATTGAATTGATTCATAGATTCGCATAGATTACTAAGCAAACATGAAATGCATTTTATTTTTGTTAGAAGCAATTTTAATCGATAGTATATGTGCCATTCTATTCAATTTTTTGCCTTTTTCACGTAATAATTCTCCTTTCGTAAAGCTTTTATGCTCTCCCGACGAAGAAATGTCTTAATTGTACAGAACTATTCTCTTAATATCAATACGCAGATACCAATTAGACAAAAATTCTCACGACCTTATGCAGATTGATCCAATATTACAATATTGCCAATTTTCAGCCGTTACTTTTCTATAATTAATATCTCAAAAATTATCACGGTTGTTTTCAAAATAGTAGAAGAGTTTTTTGTTCAGCTCAACGAATTGTATGTGCTTACGAGTGCTTAAATTCCCAATATTCTACATAACAAGACGCATGATTGAATTGGTTGAAGGTCGACTGTTTCCTCAAATAACCGCATATTGAAGAAAATAAAAAGGAAGAAGAAAACATCGAAACAAACAGTTCAAATTTTAACAAAGACTGTTGTCGGTCAAAACAGAATGTCAGAAGCCGCCACGCTCTTCTGGCAGCAAAAGGTCAGTCAAGGAAATTTCCCCGAAGGACACGGACGCGTGTGGAAAACTTGAGCGGCGCGCTTCGCTCCGTCGGAAATTCAGTGCGTTGTTAAGAGGGAGTGCTGACTTACCGGCGGCGATAAATCGCAGCCTGCAACCGATCAAGCGTAGCCTGAGCTTCAGCAAGGACCTCCATCGTACTCACGAGCCATCGAAGCCTTACAGGACTAGCAGCGTACAGTGGTACAACAGTCTTGGCTCACTAGCTGAGGACGAGCGTGTCGACGAGGTCCGCGATTATGAAAGGACAAGCGCTTCAAGCGAAGAGGAGATTTTCGAGGGTGAAAGGGTGCAGATCACTAGGACTCACAGCCTAATGGAAAAGAATCCAGTAAGAATCTCTTATTAATTAAAGGAAAGTAAATCACACGATGGTCTTAGGGTGCAGAAAATATCCAATCGAAACTGCGTGCAAAATAGATATGACGGCGAATTAAAAATATGATTGGGATTTATTTCATAAGGACAAACCTGTTCATATAACATAAAAATGTTGCAAAAATATTACATAGACATTACATTGCAACAATGTAATACTGCACGGAAGTTACGAAATATTTTTGCAACGTTATTACAATTAGTTGTGGCAACGTCAGGATGTCCATTCTTAAAAACATTGCCATAAAAGATTAAAGAAATATCAAGATAGCCTTCAGAGACATTGCATTGAAACATTATATGAATGTTAAAGCTAGTACTTCTACACATTTCGTCTTCCTCTAAAGCAGACCTTACCTCTCCCCTCTTCAAATTAAACTAATCCAACCCAACAGTATACACACTGTATACAATGTGTACACAATGCTACACTAGTTAATCGATCAATAACGTATTTGATCAAAGAAATCAAATTGGAACAGTAAGTTCCATTGTGCTGGATATTTGGTATAACACACATTACATTGTATTATAACACATATTTATTCCTCACGTATACATGGCATCGGAAAACAATGATTAATTTATCAAACTTTTATGTTTACAATTTTTTAATAAACAACGGGCGATGGTTAACATCTTTCGATTGTTAAACAGCAGAATGTCATTTGTAAAATATACGCACAAATTATTGGAAGTATCTCTCTTAAATCGGTTTTACTGATATTTTATGTATATGTATGAATATGTATGTATATGTATGAATGTATAAAATTATTCTTCTATCTCTCTTTCGCAGTATAATAATATATTTATTCTATAGTTGTATATTACACGTACATATATTAGTTAAACATAGCTCAATATATTTATATATATTATAGATCCAAAGAAATTATCAATCTATATTTATATTAATTTTATTATTTTATCTTTATGCTTATGCAAGGTGATTTGGAACAATTACCTGTCCTCGAAATGTTATAATGTGGAACGAATTCCAAGATGATTTTTCTTATGCAGAATATTATCCGAAACTCAGTTTTTGTGTTATAAAAATAAATAATTTGTGACGGGTCGAATACAAGAAGTAGGTAGGGACCCACGCGACTCACCATCAGACGCGGACGCTTATACCGGATGTTTCTGACCACTCGGCTCACCCGAGTTTTTTGTTAACGTGACATTTTAGAAAAAATATTTCAGACAAAAGTTGTAGGGTTTCAAAGGATCTATTTATCGACGCTTTATGAATTTGACCTTGGGATAACCTTGAAAAGTCCAGTCAAGATCAACATAAAAATCTTAAATGGTTACCCCAATTTTTTATTACATCATCTTTTTCTAGCAATTAATTTGAATAACTTTTGTCTGAAACATTGTTTTATTTACCTAATATATTTTGAGATATTTAAGGAAAACTTGATAATTTTTTCAATATTTAACTCACGATATCTCGCTAATTATTTTTCAGAAGAAACAGTGGTACTATACTTTTTTGCTCTATTTAGTCTCAAGAATATATTGTTCCAATAACGCTCTGAATTTGGTTAATTTGATGATTTTGAAATTTTCAATAATCAGCAAGTTAACAAAAGTCAGGGCGCCATTGTAAAAATATATTCTTGAAACTAAATAGAGCAAAAAGTCTAATACCACTTTTTCTTTCCCACAACTAGTTAGCGAGATATCGTAAGTAAAATATTGAAAAAGTTATCAAGTTTTTCTACAATATCTAGAAAAATATTAGGCAAATAAAAAAATATTTTAGACAAAAGTTGTTCAAATTAATTGGTGGAAAAAGACGGTGTAACAAAAAATCGCGGTTTCCATTTCAGATTTTTATGTTGATCTTGACTGGACTTTTCAAGGTTATTCCAAAGTCAAATTCATAGCGTCATAAATAGATTCTTTGAAGCCATAAAACTTTTGTCTAGAATATTTTTCTCTAAAATGTCGCATTAACGAAAAAACCGGATGACCCGAAGACTTATCTCCAGACCAGAAGATAAGATTTATTTTTTGAACATAAATAAAAGAGCAATACATAAATAAAAAAGCAATTTAATAAAAGATATATAAGTTATTTCTAATACATATTTATTTTAGATTTAATAATTTACTTTCGCAACATTGCTGAATTATCTCGACAAAATGTTGCAATTATAGATCTCTGTAATCTTTGCAATACTACATTGCAAATTGTAATGTTGCAACATTCTTTCAATATAACTGGAAGCTTCCATGCTTTTTTTGTTGTGTATGCGTATGAGGTTTGCGGTTAACGTCGTTATTGTTCTCGTTTCTTGAAAATACGATTGAGGAAATTCATGTTTCATTTTTGCAAACGAATCTCGTCTGAGAAGTAAGGAAAGATGCGAGACGACTATATCAAGTCATTCCGCGGAAACGAGAAATGTCGAAAGCTCCGAAGAATCTTTCCACAAGAGAGGGAGAGAGAAAGTTTCTAATGACTAATTTCTCAGCCAAATAGAGCATTCACGGATACTGCGCGCACACTCGGCTCAGAGTGTCACATTTTCCACGAGTCTTCCTTACCTTCCCGTCGAAATTCTTCTCTCAATATTTACTCGCGTCGTTTCTTCCCTGCGGATCAATCACGACCGACTTGGCAATCCGCGCGACGTGCTCAATACGCGAAGCGCACTGGATACACAAACGACGCACGTCGTCAGATTCAAGTTTCATTTTGCGTGGTGCACTATATCGGCGCAATTAACAATTAGACATGATTCTTATCGCTTTTCCAAAAGAAACCTACGAGAAAGAAAGAGACAGAGGTGTGTTGTCCGCTCTTAGATCTCGTAAATTGCTTCCAGAAGATTAATGAGATTTTATTTGCGCCCCCTTGTCCACCGGTCTTTATCAGTATCCCACTACTCGTCGCGAGTTTTTCCTTTCTCGCCGGAAACTTCACTCAATTTACCTTTTTACCGGGTCACGACTCATCGTGCCCTCGGGAACTGGCGCGCCAGCGAAAGTTCGGCGGAATTTTCATTTAATCTTTGAATCAGATTTTTCCCTCCTCCTTCGATAAATTCCAGAGATTACGCCTCCAGCTGTCTCTTCCTCTTCTCGCTAGGAATTCTTTGTCCACAGGTTTTCATTCTGGAAAGGAGGAAAAAAACGAAATAAAGTTAAGTTATAGTTACCAAAAAAAAAAAAGAAATAAGTGTAACTGTAACTTCGTTAACGAGTAACGAGTTATTTCCCAATCCTGTATGTAGACTAGCATAAACATTAGAGCTGCCTTACGTCTATACGTCTAGCGATTGTTTTTCGATCCTATATTCAGGTATTTATGACCGGGCACAAGTGATATCGCATTGCACCTGCAGCGAGGGAAGCGTATCCGACGAGATCTCGGGGTTCTAAGAGAGCTGTTGTTCTCGCATAGAAACTCAAACACTTGAATCGCGACTTTAGGTATAATTAGATCTGAATCTTGCACGAGACTGGCTAAGCATTTAGTCGTCCATTTACATCCGTACCGGAGCGTCTACGTTCAGCATGATACGTTCCTTATGCACACAGCCCGTCTCACCGTCGACCTACACCCGCACACACAACACACACACACGCACACACGCACACGATAACGACCTGTAAATTATCCAACTGTTCGGCTGATCTCTGAAAATTCAACAATTGCGCGCGGATGAGGTGAACGCGTCGTGTTTACGTCGACGTGCGGGAACATGTCAAAAATTCCATTACTATTCTATTACCGAGTCCTGACGTAACGCGCTGTCGATATATAACCGTGGTATAATCAACCCATCTGCGGAGGAACGAGCTCTAATTCCCGTGAAATTGCAACGTCAGACGGAAGTGAGGGAACTAGGGTAGGAATAAAAAGGTGATTAGTTTGCTAGTTATTTAATACATATTTTAATTATAGTTTCTTCATATTTTAAAGCGAGAAAAATCCTGTCCTTTTAAGAGTCGACCGTGGACGTGTTACAGCGAATAATTTCTAGTCTCGGAAGGATAATAATGTTCGAATGTCCCTCGGCCGAAGCAATATTTTTTTCGCAACTTTAAAAAGGGATCAATTTCTGCGAACTTTTTACTAACTGAAGTTATATAATAAGTTTATATTAATGTTGGTAATAAAATTAGGATGGATAATTTGATGTGGAAGGTTGATGTCCGTTGATGACAAGGAAATGTTGATTCCCTGCATACGTAAATTTGGAGAAATATTCAGCTTGAGCGTCATCACACATTTCGAACATTTACTACTCGTTGAGTTTAAAATTCGCACTAACATCAGCGAACTTTTAAAATCATTATTCTTCGTTTATTTTAATCGTATTAGGTTGATACAAAAATAATTACGGTTTTTACGTATCGAGTATAAAGACGCATATATCAGTTAAAAATTATATTTATTAATCAAAATAAAGACCATTGGCCTGCACACATTTCTTTCAACAGAATACAAGTTGTTATTTCCTAGAACATTGTTTATTCCTAGAAGATAGAATTCTGGAAAAGGTAACGATAACTAGAAAAATCGGCGTCAAACTTAAAATAATAAAAACCGCAATTATTTTTGCACCACCTTAATATATTACAAGAGCCTATTTATATATAGAGTGTTCAAAGAAAAAGATCCTAGATTTACAGGAGATAGATAGTACTCATAAAATAGATAAAATGTATTGCAAGTAAAAAGTGTTTAGTAAACATAGATCGAGAAATCAACCCTTTTCAGAGTTATAAACTTTCCTCGAGTTTAATAACACTAGTTATTTGTGCCCTTCCATTGATCACGCGCGGTGAGTAAACGAACGAATATTTTACTATATTATTACATACATATGTATTTACAAAAAATACACGATGAATTAATTTTGTATTAATTATTAGACAGTATCTAAATAGAAGATTTGTTGCGAAAGATGGATTGAACGAGGTGAATTGGTTATATCCTTGATGTCTTGACTTAAATATATTAAATTTTTTTTATGGGGATGTACGAAAAGCTTGGTTCATTCTTCACCCATAAGTAATATACAAGAATTACATCAGCGAATTCAAGATGCAGTCAAGCAGATCAAAGAAGATCAGGAATTTTTTAAAGAGTATATAATTTTGTAATTTGAAGATGTTAAGCGTGCGTAGAAATAAAAGGACACTTGTTGCAAACAAAGTAATAATAAAATATCAATATAATTAAGTACTCGTTCGTTTATACTGCGCGTAACCTATGGAAGTGAACCTATGGAACAAATAACTTACGTTATCAAATAAAAGAAAAAGAAAATTTGTATCTCTGGAAAAGTTGATTTTTACGATTTATATTTATTAAATATTTATTAAATATTTTTACTGACAAAAAACATTCAGGAAGCGTATGTCTTCCGATTTCGACGAAATTTGGCATGTTTATACAGCAGCCAAAAATAAGAGACCCGTATTTTTTTATCGGCAATGACTCAAGTTTAAGGAGTGAAACTTCTCTTTAAAGTTTCATCCCCTTTATGCCGTCTCGATAACTATTGCAAATAGGAAAAAGCTTTTTAAACAAAAATTGTACGGCTTTTTATGAAAAATAAAATGGACTTGATTAAGATAAAAAAATATTTTCAATAATTAACAAAATAATCATGTCAGGCTTAATTATTAATTTATCAAATTCATTATATAGAGGAAAAAGCTAGTACTTTCCATTCTGAATCGATTTATATATATATATATATATATTGTTTTATACTTAAATTATACGGACATTACAATTTATAAGAGTGGAAGTAATACCATAAACAAAGTGGTTGGTATTGTCGCTTTATCCACCACGGAAACCCTGGTGGATTTAGAAGTTCATTCGTGGAATGAGAAGTTCCCTCGCACTTTATATAGCATATTTATGAGATATTGCGCCCTCCAATTACCGCCAATTTTATTCGATACAGCACAGTTTGAGAAGTTAGCACTTTCAAAATACAGCCGAAGTTAAGAATTGGGTCGATAATTTCTTTCTTACAAAAGAGTCGACTTTTTTATTACTGAGGAATCCAACTTCTATCCGAAAGATGGCAGAACATAATCGATTCAAATACGTAGCAATTATTTCAATTGAAAATAATACTTTAAACATACTGTTTTAATTCTTAACAAAGGAACCTATATTAATCTTTTTCCTCAACATAATACATAAATATATAGATATATGAGTATATAAATATATAAATATATACATATATAAATATAAAAATATATATAACCATTTTTATATAATTATATATAATAATTTTTTGCAGTTTTGATGTCTATGTTATTCTGTTCTTTTATTTGCCAATAACAAATTATATAATTTATTTTAATACTGGAACGAAGTATTTCAATCGTTCGGAAATAAAATTAAGATAAGAATCGCGAAAAGGTCAGTATTTCTATAGCAGATAAAAACGGCGAAAAATCGTAAATAAAGAAATATCGCGCGAAATATAAAGAACATAATGAATAAGAGAGAGAGAGAGAGAGAGAGAGAGAGAGAGAGAGAGAGAGAGAGAGAGAGAGAAAGAGAGAGAGAAAGAGAGAGAGAGAGAGAGAGAGAGAGAGAGAGAGAGAGAGAGAGAGAGAGAGAGAGAGAGAGAGAGAGAGAGAGAGAGAGAGAGAGGATTGCCAGAAGATATTTTCAGTTACTTATTTTTTATAACCAGTATGTAACTGCCGTGTAAGGACATGGATTTCGCATTTGCGATGGACGTTCGTTGTGCACTTTATATAAAAACGTTATCGATCTCGCAGCCGGGACAAATACCGAATAAGAAATAAGCTCTCCCTTCTCTCTCTCTTCTGGGACTCGACGACCATGTTGGATTCTGTTTCCTGATCGACGCAAATCCCGGCCTCGGACACGTGCGAAAAAGACGCGGAAAGGCTTTCGGTGAATCGCATGAACCTTTCATCGAAATTAGAAGCTTGTAGACGACGATTCTTCGTTTATCCTTCTCGTTTCGCGCGAGTTATCTCTTCTTTTTCTTCCTCGTCATCCGTGGAGATCGTTTGTTGATGATCATCAAGATACAAGTTGACACGATTCTACTTCTTTTTTTTGCGCGCTAGCTCTTAAACTAGATTTATGATGAAACGTCTGTGTTGTGTTGCAGGCCGCGAGTCCTAGACGAAGAGTGAACACTCTCTCGCATCCGACGTCGGTGCCTTATGGACGACATAGCGACCATTATCACTCCAATATAGGTAATTATACATGCAATCTTTGCGTATCAGATATTCGTACAATGATTGTGATGTAATAAAAATTCCTCGCGTAGAAATTTTTCAATATTTTCTCGAGCAATACGTAGATTATGTCCATAACGACACGATTAATTCAAATTAGATTATGCTGTATCATATAATTGACAATATCAATTGATAGTTCCATATTCTTATATTCCAAACATGGGACCTCTATTTGGAATTAGAGTAGAAGTACCGCGAGAACTTGTGCTTCTCTTCCAGTGGATGAAACTAATAAATTTTTATAGAATTAAATAAAAAATCTTATTTTTATCCCACTCATCGAATTCTATAAAATGAAATATAAAAAGTGACAAACGTAAAGCAATCCGAGTATATTTAATTTTAGGACAAATTTGGAAATTTTTATCGGAATTTATGCTGCATCTATGAAAATCCTGAGAAACTTCTCTATACGATCTGCATCCGAAAAACATTATTCTTTCATTCATTATTTTATAATCAAAAGTATTACAAAAAAGCCAATTAGAGCATACATTAGATATCAACGGTAAAAATCTTTGAACTACAAAACAAGATTATTCAAATTTCAGCCGTTCAACTTTCCTCAATAGGAAAGGAGAAGAAAATATTCACAGCATGTACAGGTCTTCTTATGTCTCAAAATTAGGACGAGAGTTTACTCTCGAAACTTCGTAGTGTATCGAAATTAATGAATGACATCGTATATTTCTGTTCTGTTTCTGTAGGTCTCCGCCGTTGCTGTAGGTTTCTGCCTGCACTCTTTAATTACGATGAAGTTTTTTGCTATTTTTTTCTGAGTTTAAGATTAATTGCTTGTCTATTCTCACAAATTTTACGCGAAAGTGATATGCGCGGCAGAGAATTTCTTCCCAGTTTTGCTCTCCTCCAGTTTTCACGAGTACACGAGAAGTCAACTTTTTGAGGTTGTTAATTCAATTCTTCTGAATCTCGGGATTATACCTCTTTTTCTCGATCAGTAATCTTTTCGAGGCGAGAGCTTGATTAAGCTTGATATTTCCCGCGAAATTTATACAAGCGAGACAAGCGCGCCGCTTCTAACCGTGTTTGTTTTTGAAAATTGTCCGTCGTGTTTCAGATCTAAGCAATCCACCCTGCGAAGCGAGCAGCCTTCCAGCTTTAAGTCACGTCGCCATCGACGAAGATGACAATAAAACGAAATCGCTATTGTGAGTACAATCGATTTATTTCACTTAAACACAAAAGCGTTACTTTCTTTTAACTTGTGCCCAGCTTTCCTTATATTATTAATTATACGGTGGGAATATATTCTTTGAATAAGATTTTTGTGTGATTTCTTTTCAATATTACCGCATGTTTTCTAATAGTGTAACGATCGACTGTCAATAAACGGTTACTTTGCAAGAAACATGTAGTAAGTTTTTTAATAATACATTTCGATTATACATAACAGCAAAATTTTCAATAATATATTTTGATTCTTCGAATATAAATGGCATGTGTTAAAAGAGAAAGTTACAAATTAAAGCAAAATATTTCTTGGTTACAAAATCCTAATTTTTTCTCACATATACTTCACACACGCACCTTTATTTTACTTATATTACTTTGGACAAGCCTTCGAAGGTATGCCGTAATGAGGCTTCCTTTTTGGTCGCAATCGAATTTGTGGTCAAATATACAGGAAAGCTTTTAATGCGGTTTAACACGTTAATACTACAGACTCTTCACATTTAATGTTTGCGCGTATCTGTATTTATTTCCCACGAAGAGCTTCATAAGCTCTTCACGTTAACGGATATTCACGAGTAGAGGGAAAAAGAAATAATTTTTATCCAGGCAGCGCGTTTCTCTTCGTCTCGACGCATTTTACAACAGTGTGTTACACGCCGTTCTTTGACATGGCACAATTATGGCGAAATCGATGTGGTTGCATGCTCGACACACGGTCTTTCAATTAGCTTGCGTTTCACAGCCGTTCGATGCTGAAATCGGGTTTGTTCAGGTTATCGTGCGCGATTGTTTCGCTGAGCGTTTCCGTCGATTGAATTTTATGATTTTCGGGACAGGGGCAGAACCGGCGTGCCTGCTCTTTAAAATGGGTACGTAACAAAAGCCATCAGTATTTTACGTGCGGTAAAATGTCCCTTTATTCGGGTACACAGTGCGTAACTATACAAAATTCCGTCACTCCGCTGTGTAAATTTTTATGTTTAATTTCCGGAGTGAAGCAGCACCGTTATCGCGGCGCCGACAGCAAAATGACAGCGAAAAAATATTCTTGAGGGTGCGAGGAACAGTGATTGTAATCAATAATGATTAAGATGATGAATTTTGGAATAATCCGGCATTTTTACCATCAATTGAAAAAAATGTTATTAAAATTATATATATTTTATGTATCTGTACGTATGTAGGGTGTTAGAAAAGTTTGGAAACGGTCAAATATCTCGAAAACGAAACGTTTCTGAGGAAAATGTTTCGAACCAAAGTTATAGGGTTTTAAAAGTTCTATTGAATGATCATATCCGTTTGACATTGAGTCGAGGGGTCAAGGTGAGGTCAAGGCCAATATGATTTTTTTAAACAAAATACCCCACTTTTTATCACACAGTGTTAAAGATGATAGTGTGATGTTTTCAAAACACTACTTGATGACCTATTTTTGTTGAGAATTGTCTGAGTTATGAGTTTTAGAATTTACGGTGCCGCCAGCATTAGTATTAGTTATCCAGGATGTACCGCGTGGAGGTTGCATGGTCGGATTTTACACCCCTCTCTGTGTGTGTGTGTGTGTGTGTGTGTGTGTGTGTGTGTGTGTGTGTGTGTGTGTGTGTGTCAGCAGAGATAAGGACCCCGCGGTGTCGTCACAAAGTTCATTAAATAAGTTTTTAGAGATGCGAAATACAAAAAAGATTGGGAAACCCTGCTCTATAGGATATACGCTTTCGTAACTTTGATCAAGTATGAAAATTTATAAAAATTGAGTCAACTTCAAAGAAGAATATTTTTATCGCCGCGGAATCCATCTTTTACCAGAAAAGTAGGAAAAAATTAAAGAAAACGATGAAAAATATTTTGATGAAAATATTTGTTTATTATCTTGCTTAAGTAAATCAGTTTTTGAAAAAAATAGAACCCCTCAAAACTAAATCACATCCCTAATACATCGCATTGCCCTAAAAAAATCTATTCATTTCACAGATTCTTCGATCAGAGATAGTTGAAATCGTAATTTATTCTTATGAAATTTTCTTTTTCTGTCTCTTTCCAATATCCCTAGTCACTATGAAAAAACCATTTGGCTTCTTGAGAATCTGTTTTTAGACAGTTTCGAAAATGGAAAAGCGATCGTGAAATGTCGTTCATTGACTTCCGCACAGATACGTCTTCCGTGACCGTTTCATTGACTGAATAATAAATTACTGTTGGGAAGAAAACAAGATGGAAGGAACGACAACAAGACGAAAGGAGGTCAATAAACCACTACTAGCGATAAATCACTACGTTGGTCAGAGAGAACCAGCGACGGACTCGAAATAGTCGCAGGGCCGTTTAAGTGCATTATTCTCTTCGAACTAAACGCAATTCCACCTTCTTTTCTCCTTTTCTTTTTTCTATTTTCATTTACTAAAACGAAACAGAATTATTACTAGAACAATATCGTAAATATCATATTGTATTTTATATTTAGCTCAAAACTCTTTTAGATTCTTCTTAATCTTTTTCTGCATTGAAATCTTCTGTATTGAAATCTATATTGTTAGAATCAATACTCTACTACTAGCTGAAGTTAAAAATTAATCGCTAACAGGCACTTCAGCAAATGTGTAATAATTTGCAGCATATAGAAAATATTGCAGCTTTGTTGTAACAATTTTTCAAAAATTATAAGGACAACCGCAACAAATAATTTTTTACAACTTTTACTTTAAATGACTATGGATATTTTCAAAATACTTTACGGAATTAGAAAACCAGATAGTAATAATATCCTTTTTTGTTGAATTTGAAATGGATCTTAGACTTTTAATTCTGAAATTTTTCCCGACAGATAATTAGCAAGACATCGTAAGTTAAATGTTGAAAGAGTTACCAAGTTATTCTTAAATATCTCAAACAATATTAGGCAAAAAAATGTTTCAGACAAAAATTGTTAAAATTAAAATTAATTGGTAGAAAATGATGATATAATCATTATAATAAATAAATGATATAATAAATAACTGGGGTTTTCATTTTTATTTAAGAAAAATAATGATTAGTGAATATCTCGAAAGTGGCGCTATTTGTAAACAAAATAATATAGTTGTTTTATGCCCTTTTTGAATCCATACAACTCTTGTATGAAACATTTTTTTCTGAAATGTCTTGTTTTCGTCAACAAAATAAAGTTTATATTTGAATTCTCAAGAACGTTATTTCTTTGCATTATGGAACATTATAAAAATCTTAATAAAATAATTTTTCGATTCTCGCATATGGACGACATCACGTGTCTTCGTTTTCGAGCTGCAGCTAATTCTTTTGCTCTGTCTCTTTTATTTTTAAAAGAAGCACGTCGTCCTATCTGAGCTAAATGAATAGCTCTTCTGAAGGAGCGTATGTCTGTATCGCCATTGCACGTGCTATGGTGCATCTGGACACGAGTTACGAGATTCTCGCCTGCGTGTGGCGTCGGTAAATCAAGTTTGCTGCTACGGCAATTTAGTTTGTTCTCGTGAAACAAAAGCTTACGTCGCACGAAACGCCACTGCGCGTGCTCACCGTGTGAAGGTGCCGTTTTTTTTTTTCTTGTCTTGTCTCCTATCGACTCTTCCAACTTAAAGGTAGAACAGTTAGTGTCGCTTCGCACGTGCTTTGCAATTAGAAAGCCGCAGGAAACCAACATTTGTCGCATTAAATTGTACATAGAATAGATTCAGGCGCGAAGTGTGAAATATTTGTCCAAATTTCAAATAATTGTGTCTCGAGGAAGACGTCCGAAATGATAATTTGGCTGAAATATTTTTCTTCCCCCTTACATACTAGTCGCAACGTAAATTGTGGCTACGATGAAATAAATAGCATTCTTGATGTTAAGTCATGAGATTAAAGAGTTATGGGGATTCACGAGATTGCGAACGACGCTAATCTTTTTGCCGTCGCAATTATTAGATTTTCGAGTATCTCCCTTCTCCCTTTCGTCACAGTCTGATAACTGGAGGTTAGTAAGGCAGAAATATCTTGACAGCGGGAGCAGCCTAAGCTCGTTGGTATTCTACTCCTATTTTCCAGTCGATGCCTCATCTCGAGCCTCAGTCATTATTCTTTGATATTCCACACGAATCGCCATGCGATATTTGGATTTTACCGATACTATATTTTGTACCCTTTCGTGACATTTATTGCCAGTAAAATTCGGAAAAATACATCTTACGACAATAGAGACGAAAATAATCGATGCCTAGCGATTACATTGATTAATCGGCGATAGATAAACTTCAGTCGGTCGGTTATTGTTTTCGCAGAAATAATTCCACAAATATGTGACGTGTTATAACAGAAGGCATTCGTGTCGAGCGCAAGTTTTCTCACTTATTTTAGCGATATTTTTTTCTTTTATATGCAAAATAGTGATTCCAGTTATGTTCATGTACATGGTGTGCATTACCGACGATGCGTCTCTCGTTGTTGTGACGGCTCGGTGACTGCTGCTGCAATGGCGATGGCAATGGCAAGAGTGATGCTTGTTATCGGTGTGCGTCTTCGTCTTCCGTTGTATCGTTAACGAATATCGCAATCTGTTGCATATTTCGTGCCAATCGGCTATAGCGTGAACAAGATCCAAATCCTTTTCAATTCCTTGCAATAATCTTTGGCGAAATATGCCAACCTCAATATCGAAACCGCACACTTTGGCCGGAGACTTGTGAATTTCGCTTTGGAGCCACATGAATCGAAAATGTTCGTACTCAATCGTCGAGTCGCTCTGGAAGGGAAGCGGTTCACCCAGGAACACAAATTGATCCTTTGTACTGTAGTCGAGTACTGTAGTCGCGTATACATCCTCCAATAGATCGAGCGTCCGTCCGTTGAAATTTATTTTTCTTGTAGCATCAACCAGACGTAGAAACGATCGGTCCGATACTTCGGCGCATGCGGGTAGAACGACCGATTCCATATTGAATAGCAATTTTTTTCGCTCAAAATCGTACTTGAATCGCGA